TGGAATGGTCGCTGGGCCCAGGCCAGCACAGCCACTTTTTTTTCCTCGAGCGCTTTTCAGTCGTTTTGTCGTTACCGTGTTGGAATCGTCGCCCAGCCCAGACTAGCACAGCCACATTTTCTTTTCCTCGAGCATTTTTCTGTTTTTCTGAGAGGTGTCAACTTCCCTTCCCCTGCTGTGGTCTTTTTGTCGTTACTACGTTGAAACCGTCCAGACGCAACACAGCCACCTCCTGTCTTCACTCAATGTGCACGCAGATGAGCGGAGGGTATCCGTGCGAGGGACTCGAGCCGACCGAAGGTCGGGCGAGAGTTCCGAGCCCCCCGGAATCCTGGATGTACTATAGCCAACCGGGTAACCAGCTAGTTAAGCTAGTCATAATATTTAGCTTTTAAAGCCCAAAGGTTTTGAACTTGAGGGTGTGCGAGGGACTCGAGCCGACCGAAGGTCGGGCGAGAGTTCCGAGCCCCCCGGAGTCCTGGATGTACTATTGCCGACTGGGTACCTAGCCAGATAAGCCAGTCGGCCATTTGAGTTTTGGAGTTGATAACCTCAAGATTTTGAACTTGCGGGAGGAAATATAATATGGGAGACTTGGACAGGAGTCACAGGACTCGTATTGCCATCCGCAGCAATGGCCTTAAAACCCACGTTTACTGACTTAGATTGCTCATATTTGAGGATTTCGGCCAAGTGGATGTACGCATATCTGAATTTTGGGACAAGCGACATGCAAGTTCATCACCCCTTTGGTGGTTTTGGACGAGTAACTTAAAAGTGTGTGGCTTCAGACATCTTCTTGCGCTGTTGCAGCGATAAAATGTGCGAGTCACCTGATCGCATTTAGGGGGTGGCGGTACGCCCTTTTTTTCGACAGGTGTTACTATATATGGTAATTTTATCCTAAAAAGGGAACCGTAAGAGGGTATGGGGAACCCGGATCCTAAAGTATCCAGGCACTCTGTAACAAATTACAAGAGTGTGCCGGGGCGCTTTGCGCCCCGGTGCTTCATCCGAAATGTAGGAAATTGGAAATTGACCTTTGAAAGGCTTAAAGCTGCTAAATTCGTCGTCGTGGCAGTCCAGTTTCAAGTCCTTTGGTGCCACCCTCGGTGATCTCCTGTCAGAGTTTAAAGGCTTCAGACAGATGTTATTTTATAAAGAGTGGAATAGAATGTGGTACAAGGAGGAGAGAGTAAGACAAGTTGCTCCGAGCGCCAGACAGATCGGCCGATATCACCGAAAGACTGGGGTGGCTGTGCTTTTCGTGTTTCGCAGACACGTCCATTTATGGTAATTTTGTCCTAAGAAGGGTACTGTAACTTTGCGGAAGACCAAGACGAGAGAAGACCCGGATACTTTAGTATCCAGGCATACGCTAGCGGGATATGGCGGTTGGGGGAACCAATACGGTGTTACCGACGTGGTTCATAAAAGCTAAGCCGTGGATTTTCCGGCATGGTGTAGCGGTAAATTCGGTTTCTTGGAATTTTGGATATACGATTGATTGTATTTTACACTCGCGCCACTGGCTTCACCAAAGGTGGATAACCACCAACATGCAAAAATGTTCCGGTACGGGGAGTCGAACCCCGGGCAAGTGCGAAATCACGTGATCTGCGATAATCCTTCAAATTGGTCCCACGAGAACTCAAATGGCCAGTTTGGTTGTCTCCTCAGGCTCCTGCATACCTCGGCTATGCTCCGCACCGCCACTATGCAAGGATAATGGAGAATTTCGGGCCATACACGACCTGAAATGGACGAGATCAAAATCCCATTGTTCTCGCACAATGGACAACCTTTGGCCCTGCGGACCGCGTGCCGTGACCATTCGAAGAACAATAGCTGCTGGAAATGCGTGCCACAATGCCCGAGCCCGCCATTGACTCCCTGCGCCGTTGGCAACGTTGTTCTCTCACTCTCTCTCCCGTACCACGACCATCCCCCGTAATTTCACGACGAGCCACCGATGTTCGTCCTCCCTGCCCTCTTTGCCGTCAGTAATCGTGAGTGTAGATTCTTCTGCAGCTTTCGTGCGCTAGCTAATCTCCTTTCAGTGGCGGCATCCAACACTTCTGCTATCGTCTGCACTGCAGGCCAATGTCTTCAAGGTTATTCAAACACAACTCGTGCGTCTCCATATCCTCTGCGAAAGCGCATTGCTGAACTCGCGTCTAGTCGGCGTCACAATATCAGTCCCTGGGTCTCCGTCGGCCCTCCTACTTCCGGGACAATACACCTCTACAACTAATCCACAACTTCTCCACAACCTCCTCACATCCTCATCCGCATCCTTGTCATCCTCACCGGGATTCAAGAATTCCTCCACTTCCCTTGCTCTCCCTCTGAATGTGGCTCAAGAACCTGGGTTGTCCATCTACTCTGGGCCACTCTACTCGGGCGAGCCCGCCTTCACTTCCATTCCCAGCGCTCCGATCGGAGCCAACACCTCTACCCCGCTGACACTCCGCTCTCTCGCCCTGTCCTCGAGTGTCTGGATCGCTGTCAACTCTCCCGCGTCCGCAAACTCCCGTGTGATCGTCTGGGATTCCATCCCCGATATCTCGCAGCTCCCGACGAGCGCGCCTAGCACCCTCACCCTCTTTGACATCGAGTCCGCTGCATGTTCGCCTCCGTGCGCCTCGTCGGGCATCTGTACCGCCGCCGGGACGTGCACTTGCGCGGCGGGCTTCACGGGCGCGTCGTGCGAGAACTGCGCAGCAGGATTCTTCGGACCCGGATGCGCTGCGTGTCCGAGTGGCTGCGCAAAGTGCGACGACGGTCTGACGGGGAGCGGCCGCTGCCTTGTCTCGACGCCAGCCGGCGCACCCGCGACGTGCAACTGCGTCAACGGAGTGTGTGGTGCCAATGGGAGCTGCACCTGCACAAACGGGTTCACGACCGCGGCGAATGGGACGGCGTGCAGCCAGTGTGCGCCGGGCTTTTTCCTCACGTCCGCGGGGGACTGCTCTGGTGCGTATTGTCTTAATTTACCCCTCGTTTCTTTCTGCTAACGTTGATTCTAGTTTGCCAGATTGGGTGCACCGCATGCACCGACGGGACCGGTGTATGCACAACATGCAAGACGGGCTTCACGCAAGATGCGAACGACCGTACCAAGTGCGACCCGCCGCAGAGTGTCACGTCGTCCGGGACGGTGTGTCCTGCTGGGGCATTCTCCGACGGTACGAACTGCACGGCGTGTTCACCGTCTTGCAAGACGTGCACGGCCGGCACGTCCAACGATTGCGTCGAGTGCGCGGCGGGCACGTACTTGCTGAACGGCGCGTGCGTCTCTGCGGACGCGAATGGCGTATGTGCGGGGTCCACTTTGATCGCAGATAACGACAAGCTCGAGTGCGATAGTACGTTATTCTTCTTTCTGTCGCGCGAGGATTTGTCGCTGACGGATTTATCTAGGCTGCGGTGCGAAATGCACTTCGTGCAAGATTCCTAATTTCAGTGCCATTTCAACGGTCAACCAGCTGCAGTGCACGGGCTGCGTGCCAGGCTTCTTCCTTTCAAATGGAGCCTGTGTCGCCAGCTGTCCTTCTGGCACATTCGTATCGCCGCAGGATAATTTGACCTGTACTGGTGCGTGCCTTCTTTTTGTGCTTATCCAACTTTTCTTGACCCCCCTCACGCAGCGTGTGACTCTTCGTGTACCACATGCACGGGCTCGGCTACGTTCTGCCTGACGTGTGCCTCCAACCAACTTGCCGCTGCGGGCAAATGTGTTGCCACTTGCCCATCAAACACCTTCTCTTCCACCGGGTCGTGTCTCACCTGCCACCCGGACTGCGCCTCCTGCTCCGGCGCCTCCTTCAACCAATGCTCATCCTGCTCATCGTCCCGGCCTGTGCTCACCAACGGCCGCTGTCTCCCGACGTGCAGCAAGACACAATTCTTCGACCCCACCTCGTCAACGTGTCTCCCGTGCGACTCCAGCTGCTCCAGCTGCTCCGGGTCAGGCCCCAGTCAATGTCTCGCTTGCGCTAGCGACGCCCAGGTACTCCGCGCGGGGACCTGCGTCGCTGCGGCGTGCCAGCAGTCCTCGAGCGTCGTTCCCGGCCTCGGCGCGTGCCTCTCCGAGCTCGTCGACGTTGCCACCGCCACCGAGCCCGGCGCATCACCCCTCCCCAGCGCGACGGGTATTGACGCCCCGACCACCGTGTCCTCGTCCAAGCGTCCGCTTGCGTGGTGGGAGATCCTCCTCATGGCCCTCGGGTGTGCGTTCATATTCCTCGTCGTCGTGTGGCTGTGGCGCCGCCGTGCGCGCAAGCAGCGTGCACAGCGCACCGCGCAGTTCGCGGCGCAGAGAAAACTGGACCCTGTGGGGTGGCGCTGGCGGCTGCTGCGCTTTGGCGAGAAGCTCTTCGGACACCGCAAGAGCCGGCGTGCGCAGCCCCAGCTGGATCCCATCGAGGGGGAGGGGGAAACGGTGAAGATGTCCAAGATGCGTGCGGCGGAGGAGGCACGGGATGCGAGGGACATGGACAAATTGCTCGCGTCGTACGAGTACCCGCGAGCGGAGGTCCACCACCACCATCACCACCAACATCAGTTTCAGTCTCCCGGGCACGACCGACACGACTCTGCGAGCACCCTGTCGGCGCCATCGCTGTACTCGCAAGTGACGGGCATGCCGCACCGCGTCCCCGAGCCAAGGGAGCCCCTCCGCTCGTCAGCGCGGGACATCACTGTCGCATCGCGGTTTTCAGATGGGAGCACCCTTGACGCGTATTATTTGACGCCGACGCGCGCACCGCCGGTACCCACCTCCACTTCGCGAAATCCATTTTGGAAATAGCAAGGACATTTTTTTGTTTGGACACTGGACTATTTCTTCATTCTTTTGCATTGCCATCTGTATACGACCCGCATAGCACGTTCTTGATATCATTATTCTTTTTTCTCCTTGTATTAGATGTCTATCTGACTCTGTATCTAACTAGTTAGCTATGTATCGCAGAGATCCTAACAAAACGATAAAAACATTCCGAATAGGGGAATCGAACCCCTGGCTGCCGCGAGAATCACGTTTCCATGAAAGGCGGCAATGTTAAACCACTACACCAATTCGGATATGGCAACTCGAGAATGATCATAGAACACATACAATGCATCGTAAAGAGCGGCAAAAGTTTGTTTTGCGATAATAAGAAATTCTCTTCACGCGTTGCTCAGATTACCCTCCCCTCCCATGTCTCCCATGCAATTGGTGGACCCCAAGTACGAGTCGGATTGAGAGAACTCGTGTCTCGGATACGGAACCTCCGCCGCCTGCATTTTGAATTGCTGCGCAGGTTCGCAAAGTGCGACTCCAAACCCGATAGTTCCACGAATTCGGAGTTGCATTTATTGCAAAGATACAACTACGTGGAAATGAGCGGCAAGCGCGGGCTATAGGCAAGTTGGAAACGTACCGGGAGAGACGGCGTCACTGGAGAGGGCGACGGCTTCGCAAGCGAGTCAGTAGGAGATGGAGAAAAGGGTAGCCCACTCACGAGACGCGGGCGTTTTGACGAGCCTTCCTCGTGATCCTAGCAAGCAGTCAGCGCGGGACGTCTAGGAGATGAGACGCACGATGGGACTGCGCGGGCGCTTTGACGGACCCGGCTCCGACGCTTTCTTGACTTGCTCCTAATTGCGGATAATGAGCGCCGGAAGGGATGCACGAGGTATGCGAGCTCACAGCTACCCAATCCGCGATGTTGACGCGGGGCCCAAAGTTGCGTACTCTGTTTTTGCCTGTGCCCTTGTTGTCGTTGGGATCGATTATATGGAAGTGAGTAGGCTGGCAGATCGCGTCGTTCATGTGCGTGCGTATGTCAACAAACTGCAGGCGACATTGGCCTGCACACTTGTGAAGCCGCCTCTCCGCCCCGAGCGGCTCCGCCGCAACCGCGTCCTGGAAACCGTCAGCTAGAGAGTGGATGAATAGAGAAAAACAGACTGACCGCCGTGAGCTGCCATTTCAGTTTTACTGGCCCGACGCGATTGTTCCCTTCCATACGTTGGTACTCGTTTTTAGCACGGCACTTGGTAGTTTGGATGTGCTTTCCAATGTCCGCGTACTTGCAACTGCAGCCGTAGCAGTGGCCGCGTTGGGCGGTCTTGGCTGACTGCTCGCGCTGCTTCTTGTACGCCTTGGCCGTTTGTTGAAGGCTGGTGAGGTTGCTCTCCGCGGCAGGAGGGTCGACGTCCGTGAGGTGGGTCAGATCAACAGGGACAGCGGGGACGGGGGCGGGAGCAGGGACGGTGGGAAGTCTGAGCCGGCGAACGTTCACGACATTGAATGAGCCGCAAACCGGGACGCGATGAAAGGCCACCAAGTGCGTCTTGAAGTCGAACGCGGAGAATGACCGAGTGCCGCAGGACGGAACGGGGCATTGGTGTTCGTCCGAGTCGTCGATATCGGAAGAGTGGGACTGGAGATGCCGGAAGAACTCGCCGTTGGAGATGAACCTGACGACAGGGATAAGGGTTAGAGACAACGGAGACAAGCGTCGGCGTACTGTTTCATCTGGCGTTCGATGCATTTGGATGTGTCGTAGACACACCAGGGACAGTGCATCGGATGATCAGCGACGCCATGATGTACATCGCCGTGGAATTCGGGATGCTTGCCGCCGAAACCTGACCCGTTTGCAAAATCCACAGCCGGCTCGGGCCCCGCGGTAAACTGGACGTCAATCGGCGTGAGATCGACATCGCCTTGGACCCGTTTGCTGAAGGGCCCGAAGCACGTGTCCCAATGGCCCCAGAGATGCGCCTCCCAAGCCAATCCGTCGCCAAGCTCGTCGACATGCCTGAAAAAAGGACACGTCAACGAGAGAACGGGAAGAAAAACACGACATACCATTCCGGGCATATTGCACAATAATGGACTTGCACCTTTGACCGTATGTTGATGCAGTGAACTTGGCCATAGTGCTTCTCCCAAGAGTCCACCGAGTCGGAATCCTCGAGACATAAATCCTCGCCGATCCGCATCCGGCATTCGCGGGTTGGGTGATTCCTGCTCGGAGGGAGGGAAAGTGTGGCCACATGGTCTTGCATGTGCGAGACGAACTCATCGCGGGTTGCAAAGGTGTGGTCGTCCGGGACTACGCATCCGTCCCAATCGCAGCCGCGGGGTTTGTACATCGCCTCGAGATATTGTTGGGTTTTTTCCTGCTGAGCTTTTAGGAGGCAGGAATGGATGTGCGAGCCAACGGTTTGGGAGCCGGAACCCCTGAATGCGGCGGGGCTGGGCGATAATGATCAGCGATAGAAATAAAGAAAGAGGAGCGACCGCACCTGCAATCCGTACCGCAGACAGGACATTTTTCGGCCACCGTGGGAGACTCTCCCGGATAGCACGCTGCAAACGGACGCTCCGGCGCTCCAAGCATCGCGGTGACGGAGGCGATGGTCTCGGTGGCGAGGTCGCACTCGGGGAAGCGGTAGAGGACATCGCAGAGCAGGGCCTCTGGGTCGATGCCTGCTATGCTCACAAGGACCGATGGGGCCGCCGTAGAGTTCTCCTTGCCGTCGGAGCCAACGACTCGGTGCTGGAGCATGGGAACCGCTTGCCGCGTCTTATCCGCCAACGGCGGCCGAGCGAGAGCCATGGGCGTTGGTCCGGGCGGAGCCTGACAATCAAGGTCACGATCAAGAAAAGAAAAACCAAAAGACATTGACGTACTTTGCCTTGTAGCTGCCATCCCGATGCCTCGTCAATGTGATCCTTTTGCATAGTCTTGAGTCGGGCGTAAGTTTCGCGCACTATGATGGCCTGGTACTTGGCACGGAGTTGGTCGCGTTCGTTGCGCTTGCTGCGAAGGGATCCATGCTGCTCCGCAAAGAGCTCGTCGGCGTCGGGGTCTTCGGGGTCGATGGACTTGAGTTTGGTGACTCCGTTCTGAATGTCTGCTTTCATCTGTGCAACGAGTTGACAAAAGATAACGAAAATGAAATGCGCGGATACCTTGGCCAACTCCGTTCGCATGGCGACGAGCTCCGGCTCCCGTTCGAGTTCGGCTCTGCGATTTAGATCGAGCTTCGTTGGCAGCCCGGGAGCGCGCCCTACACTCGCCGCCGACTGACAGACATGTTAGACTAGGGAACGAAGAAAGGCAAGAAAGGTACCTTGGTCAACGCGACCGTCGAAGCGTCTTCCCCACGCCCGTGCAAGATTCCCCCAAGATCGTGGGTGAGGAGCCGAGATTGGTACGCTTTCTGAAAAGTTGTTGGGGACGACACTTACGCGATGGGAAGAAAACTCACTGCAAACATATGCGTGTTTGGTGCATGCGTCAACAGTGCGTCACGCTGAAGATCGGAGACGACGACGGCAAAGGCGTTTGCTGCAGCTCGACGCCAGGAGTACATCGAAAGGTGGACTGGAAGCGGAAAATCAGTCGCGCAAGCGGATTGAGAAGGAAAAGCATACTGATGAACTTGTTCGCAAAGCAAACCTTGCGCAGATCAGCACTGTGCGTGCTCGCCCTGAGCGCCTTGGTTTCCGAGGTCCCCCAGACACCGTTATCGTCCATTCGATCTGCGCGAAAGATGGGCTGGGATTTGACCGAGTCTTTGATCTTAAGCACGTGTTTGGCGGTGGGGGGGTGCTCCGGACGGAGGATCTGGTCGACGTTTTCGACGTCGTTGGCAAAGATCTCGTCCCGCAGCGCAAGATAGAGAAGAATCGTAACCAGGCAGTGCGCGCGAGCGCCGAACGGCTCCATGACGAGGAACATGGTCCGCCAGTGAGCCGGATCGCCGCGATGAGCTTTTGGATTGCGGAAGCGGAGACCGAGGGCGAGGAACGGGCTGCCGGGGTCGTCGGGGTTGGGGACGATGATAAAGGAGGTATCGCCCCAGTGGAGGCATTCGTTGGATCCGACGTAGGATGTGCTCTCGATGATGCCGCCGGGACGTTCGCCGGTCAGTGCTGCGATGAGGTTGACGCCGTTGAATTGCGCTTTGGCCCGCATGGTATGGAAGAACGTCTTGTCGTTCCAAACATACCGAATGATCTCGTCGAGATCGATGGGCGTCGCGATGGGCTTTTCACGAACTTCGCGCGAGAGGGGGGCGACGGCGGCGAGCTCGAGCGAGTCGATGAAGGCGTAGACTTGGTAGCGGACTTCTTTGGAAACGTGCTGGCTAGCGTAACGGGCCCAGCAAGCAAAGAAAGTGGAGATTCCGTGCTTGACGGAACGGACGGTGGGTACTGCGACTAATCGACCCTCGATACCGGCCGCCAAGTATACCACAAACTCCTTGACGGTCCCTGCCGGCAAGTGAGATGAGAGAGAGAGAGAGAGAGCAGAGCGCACGTACCCTCGGAAACCATCTTGGCACCCAGTTTAATCTCGGCCGGAAGATTGCGCGTTGGATGAAAATCCGTAAAGTCCCGCCACTCCGCACGGATGTGGGTGTGATATTCCTCGGTGGGCAGTGCCAAGATCTTGAAGTGGAATGTGCCGTCGAGGCCCTTGGCGAAGATGTTGCCGAGGAGAGGGTTGTCGACGATTTTTTGAGCAACGCGTTCCGAGTTGGAGATGCGAGGAGCAAGAAGAGGCATGATGAGAGTCGTCCAAGAAAGTCAAGAAGAGTTACAAGAAAGCGTCCAAGAAATTCGGGGCCCCAAGTGGGCACAAGAGAGACGTCGGTGAGGCGACCGCCTTTTATACTGCGCGTTTGCCCCAGCACGGATAATACGTTTCATTATCGTTTGGATCCGGGTGAATTTCAAGGGAAAGAAGTTTGCTGCTGCCAACCCAAGTTCAGTGCAAGTCATTCGAAGTTCGTTTGCTGTCGCGCTGCCAGTTGTGAAGTTGTGAAAGGGTGGAGCGCATGAGGGGAGCCGAAGAACGAGGGAGCAACCAATGTGACGTGACTGGATCGCGATGGCGTGACAGAACACAAACGGAAGTACATTTTCTCTATAGTATATACATCACTCTTCCTCCCATACTCGTAAGGCGGGTATTCCTGCAGAAACCTCTTTACATACTCTGGGACGTCGAGGGAGCCGGAGAGGATTGAAAGAACGCGATATAGCGAGTCGCGTAGGTCATCACCGGATGTGCGGG